TGGTGCTGAAATAAATGAAAATATATGCGAGAAATTTAAAGAATTATGACGTAATTGTAAAAAAATACTCACAACAATACCGCATAATTAATGAAATCACCAGTGCAGATTTTGTCGAGCATTTAAACCTTTCATTTAAATTTGTTTTATATATCTATTTTATTTCAACACTGTTTCAAAATGGCCGACCAACTTCTTTCTCGTCTCAGCAGCAAACCAAATAAACTCTATCAATTGGAACAGATTTTTATTCTGATATTAACGGAACCTAAGTACTATATTCGGATAATCCGAAATTCGTATCATCTGTTTACGGATAACTGACGTTCTACTGTTTAAATGACAATTGTTTAAATAACCTAAAAACTTGTTTAGTCACATAATTAGTATTAGTCACATAGATTGTTAAATGACAATTGTTTAAATAACCTAAAATTTCGACAAATGACCTGATTTTATTATCATACTTCTGAATAATTCATTTTGAGGTAATTATATTTTTGCATCATTGCAAAATTGATAATCAAGTTAGTTCTTAATTTGACTCTTTACTCATTTAAAATTAATCGATTATCATTATTATTATTATTTTATTTCTTTGGATTTCTGTTGTATACACATTTCCTCCCGGGTCCCAACCAGAGACCTATGTTCATGACATTTTCCACTGATCATCTTTTTAACAAAAAAAAATCTAAGATCACACACATTTTACATAGATATAGCTCTTCGTAATGTGTAAGTTGTACTTGTAAGGTCAATTTTTTGCATTTCTTTAAGGCATGGGCTACCAAGAATCGCTACAATGAGTCTATCTGAAACTTTTCCAATCATTCCGAGGGCTCCAATTACAACTGAAATTATCGATGCCCATACGTGCCACATTTTTTTTAAAATTTCCACTTCAAAATCCTTGCAGTTTGATAGTTTTTTGAAGATCTTTAAAGTTGCATTACAATCTGCATAGACTACCATGTCAATAAGAAAGCACATTCTGTTCTTGTGGTCTTTGATCACAATGTCTAGTCGATTAGCTTTCATTGTTCTGCCTATGTGTATTGTAAAGTCGCATAAAATTGTTACAGTTCCTATTTCTGTAACTGGGTATTATTATTATTATTATTATTATTATTGTACCTTTTGATGTTTGTACATACAAATGCATATCCCTGTCTCAACCAGAAATTTTAGGTGAAAGATAGTTTATGAAGACACGGTTTCATAAAAATTAAGCCCACTGATACTGGAGTTTGTTCTATTGTTGAGCAAACACATTTTGACGGCACATTACATGACAGACACACATCATGGATGTATACGGGAAATTAACAGATATTCACTAATTTTCGCATTGTTTTTTTTTGGGGGGGTACATACGTTATTTACATAGAAAGATGGTTAAAATCTGTATATAATTTAAAATTAAATACAGTGTCCATAAGAAAAAATATGTACCCTACAATCAACACAAAATTATTATTATTATTATTATTATTATTATTATTATTATTATTATAGTTCGCTTTCTGCTATGGTCACCCTACCTTCCAAGTCTGCGAGGAAACCTAAGCCATGTAGTAGTGTGTTGTTATGGCTACATTTCATGATTTGTTTTTCTAGCTTCCATGACAACACTAGCGTTACTTGAACAAAGTTCTTCTTGTTAGTTATACTTATTAAGACAATTTTTGTATTTCTCTTAAGCTGGCATTGCCAGGGATTTTTTTTTTAAATGTGTTGTGTTTCTTTTTTTATCATTCCAAGCGCACCTATTATCACTGGTAATATTCTTGTTTTCAATTTCCACATTTTTTTCTATTTCGATTTCCAGATCTTTATATATTATTATTATTATTATTATTATTATTATCTCCTCTTTTTCCGTACGGTTTTTAATTTTCCAACAGGAGATTTTGCATTATGGGTATTCTCTATAAAGTCACACGGCTCCAAAGAGTACCTTCTTGCAGAATATTTGCAATGCCAAGTACGCATAATTGTGAAGCGATGGGATACAAGGTATTATTCCAGTTTTCTTAATGTATGACTTTAAATTCGGTGGTATACATCCCAACGCCCCAGTGATAGTGGCCTGAACAACCTACATTCTGTCAAATTCAGTCCGACGGTCGGTGTATTTCTTAAGTTGTTATCTTTCCTGCATAGACACAAGAACTTTACTTCTTGCCCTTTCTTACACTAATACAACACCACACGGTAACCCTCTACCTTGAGCAGCTCTTGGGCCTTGTATTGGGTGAAAATTAGTAAAAAAAAACGTTGGGTGGCATTACTCGAGATCTAAAATAAAGCAAAGTAGTAAATATATGCATTCTGTTTGCACAAACTCTGATGTAAAGAGATATTTACCATGTATTTTGTTTATATTTCCTTTATTTAACGTCAATCGCCATCTTCTTTTTTCTTGTATTCTGTTCATATTTTTGTCCTTTCTCCTCAGTAAGGTTTCCTCAAATTCTTTTATTCTTTTGTCTTTTGTTGTAACCTAAGGAAGGTTACTGAATAGAATAATCGAACGAAGGTTCGTAATGAACGATAATATCTAGGACAAGAACAACATATATAAGATTCGCCAGCGGCGCGTAGAAGAAGTAATCAACTGCTAGAAGTGAGACAAGGGAATTCACAATAAATCTCCAACTGCAGGATATCTACCAACCACCCCACGCGGTTGGATGTGGCACAATGCCGAATTTAATGTGGGGTATCTGGGCCCGTAGGCTCGGCCAAAAATTCCACGTAGACCTCGTATAAAACTGGGTCGGGTAGCTGTTTCCCGAGACGAAAGTTTCCTCTTCGACATAGCCTTGTCTGGGGATTCTCTCTGCTCGGAGGCAAAGAGTTTGACCAGTACAGCTGGAGACGAATCTCCAACTGCAGACCAACATACAGTATTTACTACTGTATTTATGTGAATACGGACATACCCATAATCGTCTCTAGGTATGTTACAACATCTTTCATTCTCAGTAACCCTTTGCGTCTTATTGGCTTTATCGCCTTGTTTGAGTTTAAAAAAATAACATTGATAATACTCTCCTAATAATAATAATAATAATAATAATTATTATTATTATTATTATTGTTATTATTATTGAAGAGAGAGTAGCACCCCACAAAATCGACTGTAGTCTACAAGTATACTAAAGTCCAATCTACCGATCATGACACCCAGATCGATAAGGGTATACAAGGCACATGTATCACAGCCAAATGTGCGCGATATGGTGATAGGTTTTGATAAAAGTACCACATAATCTTACATATGAGGCCTAGGTAGGAATGCCTTCAGGTCGGTTAACCAAGTCCGTTCAGTTGAGGGCGTCCCCAAGTGTCTCGATGTGACTTTCAAATTTAAAAAAAGTTTATCCTGCCATTGAAACTGGCTCTAATCCCTGAACAATCGTGGTTTTGAATCTCATATTTGTGCTGTCATATCCTGCTATGGCAACAGAAAGCAAGTTTGAGTGAAATTAACAGTAAGGATATTGCAATTGATAGGTCTTGAAAAAAGATTGCACTGGGAAAGGGGAATAATATTAATAATTGTTATGGGACCTTACCCATAATAACATAATGGACTATTCCATACGTAATAAAGACTGCGCCTCAAGAGGAAGCAGGGAGTTCATCCTGAAGTCTGGAGTGAGGTCCGTCAGGAGTCTGTCAGTCAGAGCGAGCGAGTCAGTCAGTCGAGTCAGAGGCAGTCCAAACAATTCAGTCCAGACAATTACTAATAAACCTGATTGTTTGTACTAACACTTTCTACTTCTCTGTAGATATTCCTGTATGTAATATATCTGTGTTATTCCATATCTGCGTTCGAGTTCTTCTTTATTGGTTCTAACTTAGACTATCACCGTGGTATAAGGAACCGGACCATAATAATAATGCAGAGTGCTAAAGGTTAATTTAAAACTTTAAGCTGTTTACGAATAAAGGTCAGAAATCAGACAAAATCAGTTTTTGCAGCATTCCATGCTATTTTATTTTTAATATCTGTCTATATCTCTGAGATGAGGCATTATGATTACTTGCATTATTTACATTATTCGGACTTTTATCCTCATCTTCATTACCATATTCACAACGTTTCGGTCGTTGCACGCTCCAGCTTTTTTCAGGTGACTGGAATTTCGAACCGAACCCTTTTATTTCGTCCACCGGGGTAGATTGTTCTCGTTTCATGTGCCATGCCTCTTCCCGATGTCTCAGTTATTTCCCTTTAGCTCAACTCTCCAAGTTTTGATTCACCACTGCTGTGTCCTGGTATTGAACTCACAACTCTTTGGGTCTAGTCACTGAATCTAACCAATACGAATACAGTCCATTCACCAGGGTTGTACGTACTTAGCGCTGGTTGAAATAAATTTAAACCCACATGAGATAATTTTTTTTTTTTTTTGCTATGTAATATATATATATATATATAGATAGATAGATAGATAGATAGATAGATAGTTCACTGCTACCAGCAAGCAGAAATATTTCTCCTCCCGATTATGGCTATTTCGGTCGAAACTAGTCGAGGAACCTAAATGTAATAATAATAAAATAAAAAAAAAACGAAAGAATATTAATCTACAACCCAGTGTGTCTAAAGATTTTAATTTTCTATTTTCTTATTGTTCAATATATATATATATATATATATATATATATATATATATATATATATATATATATCACTTACTACTTTGTGTGTGTGTGATTGACTGGTTGATTTATTTTTGCTTTTTATTGCATTTCAGCCTTTTACAGGTTATTTAAAGCCGGAAACTTTTTTCATTGTAAGAATTTTGGGGATATAATAATTATTTTACTGATAAATGCCCTACTAATTAACCCATAGCAGGAGGGAGATGAGATGGATTCATAAAATTCCCAAGGGAATTTACGCGAACCCGATTGGAATTGGAACTCGGCCTACCGATTTAAAATTCCGAGCCGTTATCCCTTACACTGCTCGCTCATACAAGCTTACAGCGCCTGGTATCCCCAAGCAGTTACCCATCAAGATACTGACCCGGCTCGACGTTGCTTAACTTCGGTGGCCGTACGAGAACCGTCGTTTCAACGCGATATTGCTGTAAGTTGTCTTATTTTTTTTTGTTTTTTTGTTTGTGTGTGTGTGTGTGTGTGTGTGTGTGTGTGTGTGTGTTATATCCTGAGAAGATTAGCGTACTTTTTTCAGGATTCGTTTATGGCGTAACAATGGGAGCCAATATAAAAATACGAACAAAAAGAAAACTTTCTCTACTATTTATCCAATACTGATTTAGTAGCAAGAACATTTTCAGGATTAATTGGGTCCCTTAAACTTTTAGATCGTCTGAAAGACAAAGATTAAGAATTAAATCCTTTAATATAATCTCTCCGGCCCCTGTGAAAAAAAGGTATTAAGTATTAATCCTTTCAATCCCATTTGTTTTAATTAAAATCTAGTTTCTTTTCGCCGTCAATAAACAATGCTAATATTTAAATATTTTTTCAATTGGATTTTCTTCATTAAATATCAAAAACTTTATTCTTCTGCGCTGAATTTTCTTCTTTACATCAATAAACCCGGAATATTAAACTAAACAACTAATATTCTATTCCCCATTGAATAATTACGGGGTTTTATTCATAGAGTTCTTTTTGCAAGAAGCTGTCCCCCTGTGCTCCAAAGATTCCACCTTCACATTCCAAATTATTTATTTAATAGCTTACACGTAAGATAAAAAAAAAATTAAGTAATTTGTAAATTGTGTTGTACTTATGACATATACAAATCTTTACGTTCCTCTGTATTTTCTTGTTTACATGCAATACTTTTGAAATATGAAACTTAACAAATTCTATTCACCATTCAATAATTAGGAAGTTTAATTTATCCACTTCTCTCTGCAAATGCCCGTTTCAAGTGCTCCAAAGATTGCATGCACTAATTTTATTCTCATTTTCTATATTATTTAACAGTTTACCATATATATATAAAAAATGTGTGGCTTATACGAAGAATTTTGAATTTGCGCTGTACATATAAAATATCAAAAACTTTGTTGCTATCAATTTTCTTGTTAACATTCAATAAATTCTGAATATTATACGAAACAAAACGCATTCCTTAATTAGGGAATTTTTATCTATTTTTATTTATCGAATTTAACAGCGTAATATAAAATTCGATTTCTATTATGTCAGCAGAAGAATCAAAGTCACAATTCGCTTCTCTCGATGTGGCTGACTCTAAGGTAATATTTTTAAAAAGTGTTAAACACACACACACAAGAAAAAACAAAAAAAAATAAACCATTCATTTTACATATCCGGATTACTGATGTTTTAATTTGTTCAAAACATGGAAGACCTACAATGGCAATTTTTGCGCTTATCATGTAAGGTTAAAACTGAGAATGCTAAATGAATGCTAAAACTTAAAATGCAACTTTTTTTATTTTCTCCATCCAGGAAATCGGAGTTCACCACCAACGCCAGCACCACCACCACCACCAAAAAAAGGTAAAACTTGTTAAGATTTTGTAAAAGAATTACCTATGATTTCTAATGTTTTACATGTTCTTCTGTACTTGTTTCCGCATATAAAGAGAGTTTGAGCATGTGTACGTGCATGCGTGCGTGAAAATGACTATATGCATGTAAATTAATTTTTGGGAAATAGTTGTTCTCGAGCAAGAATTGAATTACTGTGTGTGTGTGTGTGTGTTCCTTATGCTTATAATGAGAAGACCCAGGTAGGAAGATTGGCATGACGTCAGAAAGCGGGAAAAGTTTAAATCCAGATTTTTTTCGAGACCACGAAATAACAATGGCAATCGTCAATCAAAATTTTCACGCGATAAATATAAAACACTAGATATTCAATTATGAATTCACTTTCACGTCGATTGCGACTAATGTGCGTTCAGTAGTTCAGTATATATAATATATATATATAATACATATATATATATATATATATATATATATATATATATATATATATATATATATATATATATATATATATATATAATATATATATATATATATATATATATATATATATATATATATACTATTCATATATATTCTAGTATAAATATGTATAATATATGTTTTGGCTTTTTTTCTTTTCATTTCACCCCAAAGAAAGGCAATAAAACTACTACTAAGACGCAGTGGGTTACTGTGTGTAAATGTATAATAATTTTACATATATATAATGTGTGTGTGTGTGTGTAATATTTGGGGTTAGCAGTTGGGAAATATATTCACCCGCAAAACCAGAGGGCTTTTCTTAGTGGCCTGATTACAGACAGGATGTGTATGAAACTCTACTCGTGGATGACCATTGGCTTAACACCATTAGATATTGAGCACTAGCCCGTGTTCCATCATGGTATTCAGGGGCAACATTATTTTGTAAAAATGTTATATATATATATATAAATGTGTGTGTGTGTGTGTGTGCGCGCGCGCGCGCGCAAAAAGATCGACAAGACCTTTTTGCACACATACACACTATAGAACGATAGAAAGCTTACTCGCATCGAAGACGTGAAACTGACCAATCCCTTTTCCGCATGAAAAATGGGCGGAGTTTGTTGGCAAAATTTTTGTCAGTCATCTTATGGGCGGATGAACTTTATGCTCTCCGATGTATTTTAACATTCGAGAGCATAAAGAGTATAAAAAACAAATAAACATTCACTAAGAAAGAAAGAAAGAAAGAAAGAAAATATTTTCAATTGATTGATCAACATTTATTTCGATTAACCTTGGTTTAATATTTTATTATCAGTTTTATTAAATATTGATAATAGCTAAAAAAAAAAACAAAAAAAGAACAAAACAAAAACGAATAATTAAAAGCATTCTATCCAAAGTAATTACAATTAATCCAGACATATATATTGATCTTAAATCTACGTGTATCGATTTTTATCGTTTTGCATTTAAATTTACGTTTGTGATGTTCTTTCTTTTTTTTTTCTTTTCATTGTTTACTAATATGTGGAATTTTTTTCAAATTCCATCTTCAAAAATAATAACTAATAATTTTACATGAAAGAAAAATATTTATAACTCAGAAACAGAAAACCAAAAGTCCTTTTTACTTTATGACGCATGAATAAGAGGCGAAAAGAAAGATTATTTGAAAAAAAGAAAGAAAGAATATTGGAAAGAATTTAAAAAAAAAGAAAAACTATTTGAAACGTTTTATTTTTTAAATTCATTTTGTTCTTTTCTGGTTGTTTTGATTGATTTTAAATGCCACCAAGAATTAATGACTTGAAAATAACTGTTTAAATATTTTAACATCACAATAAAGTTGCATAAATTTTCTTCTTGTAAGTTATCGGATACCTCAGTTTTAAATTATAGAAATCCTTTGCTTGTATAACTAAACACACATATTAATTCATTTTTTATAATGCCAATAGAATTTCAATTCTTATTTTGGGTGAGTGAAACAAGATTCCGAGTTACAGAAAATTTGTCTGAAATAGTAAAATAGAAAATAGAAAAAAAACTAAGACATTATTTAATTAAAAAATCTTTTAATTGCTTTTATGAATTAAATATACTTTGGACACTTAGGTTTTAAGAAGAAAATATTTTTTGTTGAATCGCCAATCTTTACATGAATTGTTTCGTTTTTTTCTTTTTTTAGAATAATTTCTAAATTTTTAAATATTTGAAAATTTGCTATTTAGTTGTAGCGGTCAATTGATATTGTTATTAAATTAAAACTATATTTACTAATTACTATATTTACTAAAAGCTCACTACAATTCCACGAACCTAAGTATTTTTAAATAAAGTTTTTTTTTTTTAATTTAAATTTTATTGGTAATTTTCTAACATTCCCTCAACAAGCGTCTTTGCAAGCATGGCGACAAAGCCAAAGTACCTATATTTCAATAAAATATTAGTATGCTTAAGATATTTAAAAATGTTGAGATTACTAGGTAGTTAAATATATATATTCAAAATAATTCGTTTACGTTGTCTTCGTCATGTATTTTTTCGATTATGTCCCCTTTATTTAAATCTCCCAAATATCAGGCTGTTAATAAATCACGCCACACGTCAGAAACCACTCCTCCGTTTAAAAAAAAAAAAAAAAAAAACTTATTTTCTGCGATATTTTAAACTAAAAGTAAGTAATATTTGTTTCAGTTCAGATTATTTGGACTTCAAATCAGCTAATATTTTCTCAAATAACGTTTCAGAAAAGTATATTTTATTCTTGTAGGTTTTTTAATAAAGAGAATTAGGTAGTGTTCACAGATATGTCAATATGAACGAATTTATAAATTTAACTGATAAGGAAAAAATAGTTCAATTTAGTTAGAAATATACAAAATTGTTTTGCTTATTAGAAATTTTAAATTTAATCTATCAGCTTGAAATTAAAACTAAAATAAAAGTTTCAGGAAAAATTTTACATTTTTGAGAATATATTTTAAACTTAAGTACTACTTTTTAAAAATTTTGTTAATTTAAGCGTTATATTTAGTAGATAATATCTTGAGCAGACGTAAGTTTTTTAAACGGTGTATATAATTTTAATATATATATATATATATATATATATATATATATATATATATATATATATGGTGGATTCTCGTATTTGATGTATGAGGGGGCAAGCAGCTCAGTTCCAATGAACCCAAAACGACCCTCCGCATGTTTTAAATTCAGAGTTGTCCTTCTCCTAGTCCAGTTGCCATCTCAGGCTATAGAACCCAGTCTGGAGGGAAAAAAACAATAAGCACGTAAAACAAAGTAATGGATATATATATATATATATATATATATATATATATATATATATATATATTTTATCTTTTAATGACGGATCGTAAGTTTTCTAATGGAATTATGCATTAGTACCGTAAGTGAATATAAAACAGATTTGACCGAATTCGAACTCGGCTCTCCGATTCCTCAATCCGAAACCTATATATATATATATATATATATATATATATATATATATATATATATATATAACAGATAGACTGTTTCGCTGTATCACAGGGATCGAAACCCGAATGATTTAGCATGAATCGAAGATTTTATCCCTGAGCTATCAG